TGAGCACAGCAGAAGGACCCAGTAGGATTCTCACTTCAGTCAGATGGCATTCTGGGCAGCTGGATGTGACAAGGAATTAGGGACCATCGCTAGCAATAATGATGATCCGTGTGACAACAGCTCACAGCCCTCACGTTCGCACATGCAATGCTCCCTCAGGCTCCCCTCTCTCGCAAAGTCCCTGCTGATGGCGTCTCACCCCCTGGAGGTTAGTTAGGTCCTGTAAGACCGGACTGAGGTCTTCCCACATCCAAAGCTTTCCTTGAAATCTACCTCCCATTTTCCTTAAATGAGCTGGTTGCCATAGGAGACAATAATACATCACACAAAAATGTGCCGTGTACCATAGGGTTATTTTGTGCTGAAAAAAATATTGAGAAGCAGATCCAAGAAAAGCTCTCTGTCATAAAGTAGGTCATACATTTACAAGGGCATCCTTCCTCCTGTCATTATGAAGAAGGACAAAAGTTGACCGGTTAGAGAACATTAAACCATTATGAGCCAGGAGATGCGCCAGAGAAATTCGCGTAACAAGCTTCCTTGACTCCGTGCGCTTCCCTTCCTATAATTGAGCAGCTAGAGGTCAACAGCTCCTTTTTTGGTCACTTCTCAATAATACATATTCTTTCTTTTTAAAAAAAAATTTAGTTTTTATTTTCTGAACACGAGTGTGTAGCTTACGTGTATGTATGTATATGGTGTGCACACCTAGTCACAAGGTGTAACCCAGATGCCTATAAGTTGCCATATGGGTGTTGGAATCAAACCAGAGTCTCCTGCAAGAGTAGCAGGTGTTCTTTACTCTGAGCCATTTCTCCAGTCCCCGTCGTTTTTCCAAAGATGATATTCAAACTGTAGGTCTGAACCTCTTCTTTAAGAATTACCTATCGTTCCCTGGGTGGCTCCTATCTCATGCATACACATGGAAGACATGGTAGTAACTGCTGTCTTTCTTTACCTTGTATCAACAGGGTCCTGTCTCAGCAAATAACTCAGGAGAATAGAGAGAAAATTATTTTTATTTCTCTATAGGGACCTTCCCGCATATTAACATAGTACCCTGTACAAGCCTTGCAAAGGAAGACATTTATTTTTGTCACCACTGTTAGCAGAACATAAGAACCTAAGTAGGGGCATGCTTGCATATGAAGGGACATTTATGTGCATGAGCTGATGAACATGAGATAAAAGGACCAGAAGGATGCAGTCTGAGCATCTGAGCCTGTTGACCGAGAAACAAGAACAGTAGGGAAATCACAGCAGAACTCAGTCTGTGGTCTTTTCTATTCTAGTTTGCTTCTCAGCTGCTATGACTAAATCATTGACCAAAAGCAACTTGGTGAGGAAAGAGATGATTTGGCTTATACATTGTAATTACATTCCACCATGAAGGGAAGCTGAGGCAGGAACTTGAGACAGGACTCTGAGGGCAGGAACTGAAGGAGCAGTCACAGAGGAGTGTTGCGCATGGGCTTGTTCCTCATGCATTGCTCACCTGGCTTTCTCCTACAGCCCAGGAGCGCCTGACCAGGAGCTGTATCACCTGCGGTGAGATGAACCTTCTCACATTATTTTTTTTAAAAAGCCCCACAGATCTGCCTACAGATCAATCTGATGGGGGCATTTTATCAACTGAGGTTTCCTCTTCTCAGATGAGCCTAGCTATGTCAAACTGACACAAATCTAATCAGCACAGGTTGGTGACCCTGGCCTAAATGGCTGGGTCTGAGTGCCATGGAGAAAGAAGGGCTATAGACAAAAGCTTTCAGAATTCAGCAGTTTACGAAAATCGGGGTACACACGTGGTTTATTAGGGAGGGCCAGGCAACACACTATGTGACAGCTGGAGAAAGCACACCTCCCCTAATTTCCGCACAAACGCCCGGTCTTTTTCGGGTTTTGTCCAGTGCTGGGGTCTGTGGCAGACCAGTGGTGCATACTCCTGTTCTAGCCACAGGGTGTCTAGGATGGGGCAGACGGGACCCCATTCCAGCCGATGTTGAGCCACATCCAAAAGAACAGGCGCTATTTGTGAGTGCTTGGGAGATAGGATGATTCCGTAATAAACTGGTTATGAGGCATCCTAGAGACTTTCTGAAACCTTTAAAGGTTGCTTTTGTGAGGTTCTGGACACCTGTCTCACAGGAGAGTTGGCGGAGCAACAGTCAGAGTTATCACTGTTGATGTGACTCTGCGTAGCTATCATCTGGAGGCTGGGTCACATCTGGTTATAGCTTTATACTAGATTATGTTTTTGTTACATTCCACTAGGCTCCTAGTCTACTTTCACTGTCTGTTGACCCTTACATCCTCGGGAACAGACACCGGCTCTGATAAAGAAGCGTGTTTAACAAATAAATTTAGAGACAAAGAGAACAAGGTAGAAATCATAGGAAGCTAATGCAGTGCACGATGCCCTTCTATCAGCAGAAGAAGCCAGCAGTGGCACAGTACGAAGGAGGTGTTGTCAAGATGTCCTGAAGCCGGTGTGAATCTCACTGAGAGAGAAGGCAAATAACCCCCAGTTTTTGATCTGCGTGAATATAGACCATAGAGACACTCTGACACTAAGACAAAGAAACAGGCTGCTTAGGAGGCTTAATGGAATTGATGAGTCAGTGATAAAACTGATTTATTAAAACAAACAAACAAACAAACAAAAAAATCTCAAAACCTCCAAGGAGTCTAGCTAAGAACCAGCAAGCCTTAAAATGGATTGATTAGCAGGCAGAAGTGTCCTGAAGTATCTTCACCGGAAGCTACAGGAACCACCTTCTAAAAACTGTACTGTTATATTTTTGAGGGATGCTCAGAGGCCTCGGGGCTTGAAGGGCAGGGAAGATGTTAAATGCTGCAAGGCGAAAGGAAAGACTGACAATGTGTGCAGAAATGACTGTGGTTTGGAGCCTTGGAGCCTGTTTCAGCACCTGCTCCGCACCTCTGGCCAGCTAGGTGTTGGGTTGCTCCTCTTTATTCCTTTCTCTTCCAGTACAGGACTGGAAGACTCCACATCTGCAAGAGGAAAATTGCTGGGCAAAGGAGGGAAGGTCTTCTGAGACAGATGAACATCCTCCATTCACTTAAAAGTCATTAATAGAAAGACGAGCAGACTATCTCTCCTAATGTCAGAGTTCAAGGGCACTTTTAAATGTCTTTTTAAAGAAAAGCTGACTTTTCTTAGGTTTTCAAGGGCAGTCTAGGCCTTGGGTCATTTCATTTTGACATGGAAGTTCTCGAAAATAATTGTAAGGCTGGAAGTACTCAACTCTGAAGTAACTGAGTGAACTTGCTCAGAAGTAGAAAAATCAGAAATCTCAAAGCGTTGGGACGCTAAAGGAGGAGCCTCAATAACTCCTCAGAGCCTGTATGGACGGGAGATGGGGAGATGTGACTAATGAAAATATAAAATAGAAATATGAAGTATCTACAGATAGTTTCTCTAATATCTTAATTATTTTACAATTTTCCATTTAGGACAATTTCTGAGTATACCTCAGTGACTCTATACTTTCATATCTCGGTTGGGTAGAGATTGGCAGTCATGAAATATAGACATCAACACAATTGCATGTTCATAAACACAGAAACTCCCTTCAGAAGCTTCATGCTCCCACTAGACCATTTGTTCAAAGCACAAACCACAAAGCTCACAAGGCATTTTTAGTGCCCATTCTCTGAGTCTAATGTCCTTACAGCTTTCAGTTCAAGCATCATCACTAGAAGACACAGGTCTGCCACCCCAGGCTTCATCCCTGCCTTCCTTCCTAGCCAGACTCTCTCCTCCCTCAGCTTCTGTCCCCTACTGCTCTGTTCTCTGCGGCTTTAATTTTGCTCTTTGAAAGAATGCCCTATAGATGAAATTGCATTCAACGTAGAAGAGCCCACCTTTCAATTCATACAACTGGAAAAAAAACAATCAAGCATACATTTTGATTTACTCGTTTCTGTGATTGCAAACACTGATCAGATTTTCAGCCTCTGAGGAACTAGAATCATTTAGAAGACAAACCTTGAGCAGATCATTGAGGGGAAATTTTTCTAGATTAGAATACCTGAGGTGGGAGGGTTCACCCTAAATGTAGGTGGATGGTGGGTTGGGGGCTCAGACTGAATAAAAGAGGGATGTGAGGTGAGTAACCCCATTCACGACTCTGCTTCCTGACTGAATGGGATGTGACCAGCTTCCTCATGCATCTGCCACCAAAACTCTCCTGTCAAACTATAAGCAAGAACAAACCCTTCCTTCCTTTTAAGGTTGCTTTTGTCTGGTGTTGTGAGAAGTAACTAACACAGTATCTGTTTTCCAAGATTCAAGGCAATAATACATATTTTAAAAAATCCAATCTCCCTCAGGAGAGAGGGGTACTATAAAGTCCACAGGCAAGATTATAACTGTATCACAAGTATTACATTTCAGTCTTTCCTTCCTTCCTTCCTTCCTTCCTTCCTTCCTTCCTTCCTTCCTTCCTTCCTTCCTTCCTTCCTT